TCGTCTTCCCAGCAAAGGCGTTGGCTTTTCTGGTCCTGCCAGTTAGGCAGCCTCCTCCCCCATTTGGGCGAGTGCCCTTGTTCATCTTGTTCTCCATCATTCTACGGGCCCTAATCAGATTTGAGCCGTCTTTTGCACGCATTGCCTGATCGCCCGTGCCTGTGTTATGTTTGTCCTGGTGGGCAATCTAAACTCAAGGGTTCTCTCTGGCGGTCCATTGGACCTCGAGGCTTTCTTTGAGATTGTTAGACGGCAGGACTTTGTCCGGTGACAAAGTCCGCCCTTTCAGAAGTCTTTCAGATCCCAAACGGCCGGCGAATTGCGAGAGGATGTGTTGTTTGTTTGTCCGCTGGTTGTTAGACCTGCGATCTCGAACTCTGCCAAGGACTGGCCTAGAGACTCACTGCCATGAGAAGTGGCGTTGCCTCAAAATGACGTTGGTCGCTTCCAGCCATCCGGTTCCTTAGTTTTTTTTGCGTTTTAGTGTTTAGTGGTTGGACTTCCATTTGTAAAACCCGCTATGGGTGAAGCTTTTAGCGGGGGACCTGAGGACAGTGACGTGTTACCGAGGGACTTGCAGAGGCGTTACTTGAGGGGAAGATTGTGACCGAGAAGTCTGTTTGGGGCGCGCGGGGGTTGATTCCCGGTCATGGGCTGGACTGTTCTGCCACATTCTGCGATTACACCTTTGTTCGGCCGCGTGCAGAACCCGGTTCTTTAGTCCGACTTTCTACTTGCGGTTACATCTTGCCCGGACGCATGCTTTTGCAGCTGGGGCTGGCTTTCGGTCCGTTCGCTCTCAATTTAGTTGGGATGCCGCCCTGGAGGCACTACCACAAGCACAAGTAGCACAGTGACAAGTACCACAGGGACAAGTACCACAGGAACAAGTACCACAGGCACAAGTACCACAGGAACAAGTACCACGAGAACGAGTGCAGCTGGGCTGATGGTCGACTCTACCGCAATTGCTGGCTCAACAGGGTTTCCGCAGACCGGTCGAGGGGCCCGCTGTTTGTTTCCCATTTGATGATGGCTTTGAGCTGCTTCTCTTGGGAGTGGTTACATCCGAGGTGAATCATTTAAGTCTGCCCAGTTCCTGACTGAGCTTTGGACCCCGCTACAGGTTTAATGGGATCCCAACCTCAACCTTCGTGGCGGCCGCTACATCCATCGTGATGTTTGTTTCCAAGCAACTCCTCACTTCGGATAAAGCAAGAGCCTCCCGATTCAAGCGGGACGGCCCGTTTTTGCAAGAGCGGGGTCGCCGATGAAGCAGCGCAATCCTTCGGATTGGTCCCAGATTCACATTGCGATCAGATGGGCCAGATCTTTGCCATTTCCTTGGTGGTTGGAGTAGTGGTTTGGCTGCTTGGATCCCAGTTCCTTTTGAAACCGGGCGAAGCGGCGAAGGGACCCCATGTTTCCAACCCAAGGTGAAGAGATCCGTGGGACCCGGTGGAAAGTGCCGGGAAAGCCAGGAAAGTCCCTTTGGCTCCGCTCAAAGTGAGATCGCAGCTCGAAAACACGACTATGCAGGCGAAAGGACTCCTACAGGCGAACGAAACCACCTAAGCTGTTTTGAAGGGGTCCTGCATGTACCAGTGATTTTCTGGGGTGCCCTTTTCTGGAGCAACCCTAACTCCCACACCACGCAAGCTGGTAGATCACTTGGACTGGCACTTCCACGTCCACGCTGTCCAGCACCACCACGTCGAGACTTGGAATTCAATTTGGCCGAAGTGGGGGGAAGATCCGGCTGAGCAAAAACGGGGCGGTAGCACCCGGGTAGCAACTGCTTCAGTACCTTCTCACAAATGAACCTGGAACCTGGCAGGGGTCCCTTTGAGGAAAATGGTCTTTCAGGACCTCCCTCAGGGTCCAAAATTGGTGGGAGGGAAGTTGGGCGGTGATGTCAGACATCACAAGAGGGGAGCACCAGACATGGCTTCGGTTTTCATCTTGGTTTCGCTTTAAACCAAGCCAACAAAAAGGGTCCCCCCCCCCCCACACGCCCAGTAGAACCCGTAGGTGAGGGGCATGGTAGCCACCCATAGCCACCCCTTTTCTTGTGCTAGTTGCAAGGGCCAAAGGAAAACTTCGCACCAAGTATATATGGCAGCGTCCATATCCTATTTTGAGGCAGCCCCATGAGACTTGCAATGAAGCCGCAGAGTTTGTTGGGGGGCATGACGCCTGGGATGTGAAAGCTCCCTCAGAGAGTGCAAAAGGGGGATGTGGAGTTAGAAGGGTGCCCTTTGTGTTGTCTCAACATGGCCTCAACATAGCCATACTGCCAACACAAACCGCCAGCCAATCATGGAAGTAGCTGGCCAAAGCTGCAACGCACAACTCAGATTGGCTCTAAACATCTTGGGTTTTGCCAACAAGGGTGGGTTGAGGCCATGACAGAGCAGTCAGAGGCAAGGTTCATCTTTGCAAAACTATTTTTTGCTTAGAAGGCTCAAAAGGTAGATTTCAAACACGAAAGGATGCCGTGAAAAGGACAGGGCATAGCTGATGTCGTTTGTGCTTCACTCGGTCATGACGACCCCAAAAGTGGTATCTCTGCCGTACTAGGAAATACTCCAAACCAGAGTGCCCTGAACAAAGCAACCAAAGTGCTTTTACCTTTCTCTTTGTGTTTGCATGTTTGTGTGAATGTGCTTGTGTGCTTCTGTGTTTGCGTGTCGTGTGGTTATGTGTTTATCTCTGTGTGCGCCTTGAATGTACGTACGCGGGTGGGTGTCTTACTCTGTGCTTTGTCAGGGTCATCGGGGCCAAATGAGGTGCGCACAGCACTGCTGCTGTTTGCTTGCGATGGTTGCTTCTGGACTTTAGTCACTTTTTGTGCTGGACCATTTGAGTGGTAAATAGGGTGTTTGGACTTTTCTTGGACAATCCAAGGAGTTGTGCCATGGCGTTGTTGCCTATGTTTGGGAGACTTGCGCTCTCCATGGTGCGTGCTGCCAAAGCAAGATTGGAATGCGGGGCCTCTACCCCTCGTAACCACCTGGTCTAGGGTTCCAGGAACGCTTGGGGTCCGCGGTTCTTGGGCTTGGGGCCTTAGGTTTCCTATAGGTGAGCCAACATGCCGCTACACAAATCTATGTACCAACTTAAAAGGATGTCGCCATTTAGGCGTCCCTTTCTCCTGCATGCACGGGCCTAGGGCCAACTGCTCAACTTTAGGGAGTACTCGATCTGAAAAAGACAATTGAACTGCAAGTGCTTGTTTTCGTCTCATCCTTTGCCAGTGAAGCCCGTCTTTTTGCTGGAATTTTCACTGGGGAAACCATGTGCTCTGGTTCACTGTATACTGTGAGTTCATTTTATGGTTGGTAGCCATGATGGTCCCTCATGCAGTCGGGGACCCTGATCCTAGTTTTCCCCCACAAAGCCCGGCGTTTGACCTCAGTTTCGCCTTTTGGTTTATTGGCAAGACAGAATGCAGCTTGGGAACGCCCCGCCCCCCCTCCACACGGATGGGAAAGACGACAAGAGGCCGCACGTGTTACTTGGCCAGGAAGACAAGCACGAGCTCCAGCACTGTGACATACCAGAGACCAGTGGAGCGGTACGTGGGGATGGTTTCTGTCTGCCCAGGGGCTCCAATTCGATTGATTTTGGGCCTTCAAACAGCCTGGTGAGACCCCAAAACCCCTCTGGGGTGTCCAATGGAGGTCTGGGTCTTCCATTGAAAGCCCCAGGAGCCTCTGGGGCCAGTGGATCAAGCTGGGAATTTGGTCCGTCTTTCCCATGGCCCCTTGGTGTCTGGCAAAAGGCAAAGCCCCCCCTTTAAACCTTTGATCCGAACCCATGGAGGGAACCGGGGAAACCGGGACCTAAGGACCATCGGCCAGGAAGTGGGGAGAGGAAACCTGGAAGTTTCTCCTTGGGAACAGGTTGGAACATTGGGAGCCTGAGGGTTTGCCTCAGAGGTCAATGGAACAAACAAACTCATGTTACATCTCGAGGTTTGCAACATATGGCTGCCAGAATCTCGATCTATCATGGCTGGGAACATCTGAGGTAGGCTTGGATAGCCCCCTGGACCAAGCAACAAGAAGCGGTGACTATTAGTGGTTGGGAGTCACAACCCAAGTCGCTGTCGTTCTTGTTTAGCGTGTTTCCTCTTGGGCAACATGTATTTGTGGTTGTTTGGTTCGATGCTTGTTGGTCTTGTAGTTCTAGTCAGGCAAGTTGGCACCCCCAATCACATGCGATTACCTTATGGTAGCACTTGTGCAAACCTGACAAGTTCCAGTCCGTGGGCAGCGTGATTTTCTACCTTGGTTATCCAGGGTCCCCTTTCGCATTTCAACTTCTTAAAGCAGAATCCCAGCCAATGGAATCTCAATTGGGCAGTTGGTTCGGGCGTTGGGATCGATCCTGGTTCTGGAACAGGGATGCCCTTCCACCGAAGTAAGTGGTTGGATATTCTGTCTACCTGCATGTCGGCCCCCTTCAAATCATTTTCACACACACACACACCCAGCGAGCCACTTCTATCAGGAGGCGGCGGAAAGAGCGAAGGAGCTTCCGCAGTGCAAGCCGGAGATCCTTTTCGCCGTCCAAAGCGCCGCTCGGATGGTTTAGCGCAACAAAAAGCGGAACGAGCGAGGGCTCATCGATCGCCAAATCTGAGCAGCTGACCGTTTTGTGGTCCACAAGTTATGGCCCCCAAAGGTTGACCACTTGCATTTCTGGGTCCAAAGGTGGACAACGTCTTTCTGAGTCTGAACTGGTTGCAAGTCTGAGTTGTTTTTTCAGGTCAGGAAACCAAAAGTTGACGATACACCAAGAGAAAGGGCTTCCCCTAAACGAAAGGGTTTATTTTTGGCGGGTTGGCCTCTGGCATACCGCAGTTACCACTTCACAGCCCATCAGCCAACCAAAACTGGGGTGGCCTTTTCCTGGGAGGTGTGGGTTTAAGTGGGGCCAAAAAGGTAAGCTACTTGGTTTTCCTTCGGGGGTTCAAAGGAGACGGCAGGGCCCTTATGGGGCTCATGTCGCGCGGAGCTTTCAAGGTGCCAGCTTTTTGTGAGTGGGGGGCAGGGGCTGGGTCATGGTTTTTGGATTTTCGCATAGCCCCTATGGGTTGCCTTTTGTCCTTCGGGGCTCATTGACAAAGTGCTGGACTTGGAGGATGCTTTCAGCCTCAAGTGGCCTTTGCTCGGGTGTGAAGATCCAAAGCCAAAGCAGCCCACAATGAAAGCGGGGCATTTTTAGACCACAGTCCCGACATAAGTGCGGCAAGCCCAGCAATTGGCTTATGTTCTGTTGCCAGACTTAGCTTGCTCCTCTATACTTTTTGACTTTTTGGATTCCATCCCTTTTACCTTTCAACTAGCAACAGTTCAACTTGTTGCAGGGGGTCTATGTTTGGTCAAGTTTCATGGTAGACTCCTTTCGGTTTTGATGGCTCAAGCTTTAACAGGTGCCTTTCCAAAGTCGATATCGCATTTTGATTGGGAACCCAGTGTCAAGGGCGAACACCCGTTGCTTCCGCACGCCCCCCCCCCCCCCTCACCGATGTTGGGCCTATCAACCCCACCAGCTCTCAGCTACATAACAAGCCTCAGGACCTCTTCACGGAGGTCCTGCGCTATGCAGCCGCCTCAGTCGCTAAACGCGACGGCCAGAAACAATCTGACAACCTGCGTTTGAATCCAGCCGTACCTTTTCCACGCTTTTTGTTTCCTCGTTGTTTTTTTTTTGTTTCTCTCTCTTTTTTTCGGCCATTGCTTCGAGAGTTTGTAGCCCAAACCCTCAAGAAAAGACTCTTAAGAAGATGCCCGCCCCATTCACGTGCTTCGATGCGTGGTGGCAGCCCGTGCCACCTGTACCATTCAATCCCGTTTTGCGGCGGCCCCAAGGTCCGTCTGTTGTGGGTACCCTTGCGGGGTTGGTTGAAAGGATAAACCAAAAGAAACACCACCGCGCGGTGTCTTCCACCAAAAAAGATGGGCGGGGGTCCACCAAAAAAGATGGCACCCACTAACACTTTTCAGAGTGAGCTGATTGTTGCTTTTCCTGGGCTCGTCCTGAAACTGGTGTCCCTCTTAACTGTAAAGTCACCATCATCAGCAGAGCAGCAGCAGCAGCAGCATCAACACTACCAGCAGGGCTCGTCTTTGAACCGGTGAATCACCTGTGATACCAAAGGACCTCCATAGGCTTTCTTGGCCAGATGAGTTCTTTTCCAGCCTCATCTCGCTGCCATGCTTCTGAAAAGAAGAGAATTCCAGAAAGCGCACAAACACACCTGCCACCCGCCACTCAAGTCTTCATGCCTGCGCGGATTCCGCCGAGGGGCTGAGGAATTTCATTTAAGGTTGGTAACCGGTACATGTCAATAGGCGATGATGAGGATGAGAAGGACGAGGAGGAGGATGAGGAGGATGACAATGATGATGACGACAATGACGATGAGGATGACGACGACGATGATGATGACGATGACGATGAGGATGACGATGATGACGACGATGATGATGATGATGATGGTGATTATAATGATGATGACGATGATGACGATGATGACGATGATGATGATGATGATGACGACGATGAGGACGACGATTCCGACGATGATGATGATAGTGATGATGATGATGATGACGATGATGACGATGACGATGATGATGATGATGACGACGATGAGGACGACGATTCCGACGATGATGATGATAGTGATGATGATGATGATGATGATGATGATGACGATGATGACGATGATGACGATGATGATGATGACGACGATGAGGACGACGATTCCGACGATGATGATGATAGTGATGATGATGACGATGATGACGAGGATGATGACAACGATGACGATGATGATGATGATGACAATGATGTTGATGATGATGATGATGAGGATGAGGATGAGGATGAGGATGAGGATAATGATGATCATGATGACAATGACGATGAGGATGATGATGACGACGATGAGGACAACGATTCCGACGATGATGATGATAGTGATGATGACGACGATGAATTGTTTACGCATCATGAGTGGCGATTCTTAGGCATTGATCGGCGAGGATCTCGACTGCACTGACGTGACTTGGTGCTGACAAGTGCTGACAATGGGGGGCTTTGAGCAGCATTTGCCTTCTGCCTTCTGCCAGCCAATCCAAAGACCTGGTTTTGGTTGACAGCCAGTCTTTTAAGTGTGGTGTTCCATGTTTTTCCCTTTTTTGGGGCAGGGTTCCCCCACTAAAATAGACTACATAAAAAAGTTGGTACCCTTATTCTAACCTCTCTACTGCAGGAGCTAGATCCAGATGTAAACAACTCGTCTTTGTTCTTCTCTGTCAGCATATGGTAGTTGGAGAGTAGGCGCTCACCTCGGCGGGCGCTGGGGCGCTGTGGCGGTAGCATGGAACCCAGGAGTTTTCCAGACCACCGATGTAACACCCGTTTTTTTTTTAAGCAAGGTTTTCACCCGAAATGTCATGCTCCAAATATTCCACCTTTGGGTCAGGACCTAGTAGGTCTTAGAGCTATGCGTTTTCTTTCTTAGGTTCTTGGCCAACTGGAGACCCTGCATGTTGCAACATCAGCATCGGGAGTTACTACACAAGGACATTTTGTGCAGTTGTAGAACCATCTCTCCTTTCTTGGATCCTCCATTTCCTTTTTGGACCCCCAGTAAATTGATTTCAACTTTTGATTTGGCTGTGGCTCAAAAAAGTGGTGCCACAATGGCACCTTGGTAATTAGATGAAACCAAGACTAAAACCTGCGTAACTGTAGCTCTTCAATTTTGAGACTTACCCATTTGGGGAGCTCCAGTGCCTGTGGACCTGGGGAACTCCATGCAAGTTTCGAGGTGTCGGGGCAGCTCTTCATCTTCTCAGCCCTGGAGCGGTGTCCCGACGACGTGCTGAGCAGCGTGGCATCTCGGCAATCTGGATTTGGAGTTGTGTGTTGCTTTGATTTGAGTTTTTTTTGTTTTTTGTGGTTTGTTGTTTGTTGCTTTTGTTTTGGAGTGGTTTGTTGCTTTGTTTGCTGAAGCAGCACCAATATGAGCCAAAATTCGGTAGTTGGGAGTTTCGTTTACAAATTCCTCCCTTGAGTGAGTAAATTTATGGCATTACTCAAAGCTGGGCGCGATGGACCCTCGAACTACCTCTCCAAACAATGGGCCAGTGCCCCGGCCTGGGGTGACGTCCATTTGCTCAGGGTAGTTTGAGGGTCTTAGCCTTTTTCACCTTGCTTGAAAACGGTAACCCAACCCGCCCTCCCCCCCCCCACCATTTGGTTTGGTCCGCCCTGTTTCGACGCATGTCAATTTCGGGTCCGGGAGCCGACAGCGCGGGAAGGTGCGAAAGCCGCCTGCGTGGCAGTTTCCTGGTCTCCAAGTATTTGGGTATGAATCCGGGGAGACATGTACATATGTATGTATATACTAAAAAACACATTATTTATATATATATATATATTATATTGACATAATTATTTTCATAATACATATACATTTATGTACAACCACCAACCACTGCGGGGGATCCCTACGAAAATCCGCACTGGGCGTCCCATTTTACGGCCGGCATCCCGAACCTTTCGTACGGTGCAGAGGTAGACAGCTACTCCACAGTGTCGCCCAGCCTCTTTGCGCGCAATAGCTGGGCAGCCCAGCCTCGCTTCTGAACCGCTGAGCTTAGTTTCCTTTTTTCTTTTTTTTTGCTCAGCTTTCCCAAGGCGAATCGGCCTTCGAAAGCTTTGGGTCTCACTCATGAAGCTTTCTTTGGCAACCTGCAGCCTCAGTACTGGGCTGCTGGTGATGATGTCACAACCAGACCTTCGGGTTAGTTGTTTTTTTTCTTCTTTTTCCCGCTCCTGGGTAACCCTGAGTTGGTGGCTTGAATCGGAGGTTTGGGGGATTGATTCGCAGTTCAAGCGATGTTAGCGGGGCATGGCGTTTGACTGGTAGACGTGAGATATGTTTCGGGAGGGAAGTTTGTTGGCAAGGCGAATCAGAAAGTGTCATGCGTCTCTCTTTGTGGCCGCGAGAGCAAGGCTACGATTGCTCTTCAAGCTTAGGACAGGGTTTCCTCCATTTCCCTTGTTGGAACCCCGGCCCTAAAAGTGGCAGTTTCATTGCAAACCACCAGGAAATTGCAACGGGGAAATCCAGTGACCCTTGTAAGAAGAAGTGTTTTTTTGGTTTTCCATGTTCTCCTCTACAAATTCACTGAACGAGATGATGACGCGATGACCAACAAGCAATCGGTGGCAGAATCACGAGCCAGTGAACGGAAGGCAACCAAAAGCTTTGGGAGTCAGTAAATGGCACTGGTGCCTGTTTTTGTTGCCTGGCATGCGTGCCTAAGTCAGGAATGGAGGAGGGTACAAGTTACCTCGAAACGCAACGCGGGTTGGTAAATGTAGACCCTTATACTACTGCATACTTTGGACATAGTTGTTGGTATGATGTGTAATGGTTTCCGAGCTAGGATTCATTGTGTAGAGTAGGAAGACGCACAAATAACAATGTAAGCATCATAAGTTCTATGTTAGTGAACGGGTATTTGTGCCTTGTTCCTCAGGTTTCTTAGGTTTGGAGCTTATAACAAAGCTGCTTTACACACATTAAAACGTCGGTGCTGTTTAAGCCCTCATGACTATAGAAGCCCCCCCATGCATTCATTATGTCGAGCTGGCGTGAAGACGAGCTCACCCATGACTGTCCCGCAGGGGCTTCCACCCCACCCCAACCCCACCGTTCTTCGTGGCTTTGGGCTTGATATTAAGGCGCGGGCTCCACGCCGCTGCTGCTGGCGGCGGGCCGGGGCTTATCTGCCACCACCAGGCGCCTCGAAGCAAGTGGAGCCCGGTGACGGGTTGACATATGGACATATCCAGTTTCCCCCTATAAAGACTGGTTGACATGAAATGGAAATCAGCTTCCCTCCAAAAAACTTGGAACACGTACAGGTTGAAGTGAACATCAGCTTCCCTTAGTGCGAACACTTCATGGGGCCCGACACATGGCTCTTCCAAATAATTCCGAACTTGGCAAAGCTGTCCACTTTTCACACACAAACGCCCCCGGAAGTGCAAGCTTATACCCTTTTTTCGAGGGTTCCCCTGCTGAAATAGACTACATAAAAATGTTGGTACCCTTATTCTACTCCTCTCTACTGGAGGAGTTCCCTTAATGTACTAATCAACCCCTCTTTAGTAATAGGGGGGTGTCCAGCCCCCAAACTTGTTACATTGTACGCCACCATAGTCCAGACCCACAAAGCGACTAAAGTCCGAAACGGAACTCAGGGAGTGATCAATATGATGGGTCTATTCGTCCGGACTTCCCTTGATTTCAGCTTCCCTCTAACAACTTTGGGATCAAAACCAAGCGGGGAAAATAAGCAATGTAGCAAATGAAGAAGGGAAACACCCAGAAGGAAAATAAAGGACATCCTATCGGAGGCTTATTTATCAGAGATCAACACTGTTTGTTCCCTTCAAAAGATGCAGTTGACTTGCGATTTGCATTTAACCCCTCACCGCTTCCGGAAAATCCCCTTTAAAGGAAAAAGCCTCCCCGACCACGAGGCAAGCTGATTTCATATTAATCAACCCCAGTTTCTTAATATGGGGATGTTCCCCCTCTAAAAGTGAGGATTCCCCACCCCAGTTGTCTGGCTAACGCGTTCAAGGAAGTGAGGTAAATAATTGGAACCCCGGATCAAGAAAACCAATAAAAGTGAGCAGGACGTCCTGTTTTTGTTGGTCAAACAAAGGGGGCCGTGTTGGGTTCCCAGCCATTTCCCCTGTTTTGGATGTCACTATTTGGTTGGTGAGTTTCCTTGTGGGATTATGTGCAAAGCGCAAAGGATTTCAGAGGGGGACATTGCTGTACCCTTCGGCTGTTACACTTTTAGACCCTTAGAGTTTGGAGGAGCTTGTTCATTTTCCGCGAACAGTTGCTTATGTTGGGATCAAAGGGCCACGAAGTTCCCACGAAGCCAGAAGACGAGTCGGGAAAGGGGACCTTTGCACTTCTGGGACGGTTGGAGCCCTCGGGTTTATGATACAACCCTGCCCAGTCGAAGCTTATTTCAAACGTCCCCTTGCATTTGGGAAACGCAGCCTATAAGGCATATCTGTGTATATATACACATGCGTACATGACTACAAGTTGAGCGAGGGTAGGCCCTTACCGTAAATGGTCAGAAGCATCAGCGATTTGTTTGGTTCCCCCTTGTTTGTCCCTGTTGCATTTCCCCTCTACCACTACCTCCAGCTAATACAATCAACAAACCTTGGTCCCCTCTGTGCAACTGATACTACCCCAATGAACTGTGTGATCTCCCTCCATGTGTCGGCCCAGGTCATGATAGCCAATTGCCCCCCAATCTTGGGGTCTGACATGGGATGGTATGGGAGAAGTATCTGATTCTAAGCCGCCAATCAAATTACGGTGAAGCCGACAACTGGGCTACTTACCGTGGACGAAATCCATTTCTTTCACCACTTGGGACGGATGAAACCCTGGGACAACCTAGCAACTGCAAATGGATTTGCTTGCTGGCGCGATAGACAGGGAATGAGAAAGGGACTGACCCCTATAAACCATTTCAATTTGTTTCCCTTCCTGGGACCCCTGCTGTGTTGCATCTTGCTTGGATGTTAGGACTTTAACTTTTTGATCCAACTCGTGGGTTTTCCGAATTAAACCACTAAAAAAAGCTTTTAGCAGGGGAGCAGATTTCGCAACCGAGCCTGGGTTCATTCCCTCGTTCCTACTGAGCAGCAGAGCAGTAGCAGAGCCGTTTCCTTGGACCGAGCCAGGACTTTGCTGCGCCTGGGCGCCAACCGCGCAGCGGTGGACGACCAGGCGAGTCGGAGAATCCGTTTGACTGCCCCCCGTGCTGTCGGGCGTGAGGGGCGCGGGGTGTTCTTCGAGGGAAATCCGGGCGTACCTCAACCCTCAAACCGATAAAAAAGGGATTTTCACCCACCATCATTTTGGGGCAAGAGCTCATGTTTAAGGGAATTGTTGAGGGTCCAGGTATCTTGTTTGGGGGAGCCTTTTTGGGCTCGGTTTAAAGGCAAACCAAAGGCAAACCACCATTGATTTGCGGACTCCTGAAAGAAAGGCACGCTTAGATGTCAAAAAGTCACCTGGTGCACGTAGAAGCCCGTTACAATAGCTGGTGGCGTTGTGTTGTTGCTTTTAGAGTACTTTGAAGGTAAAAGAGTGGGCACCCAGGGGCCGAAATTTGGGACCCTCTCGCTTTGAACAACTCTAGGGAATGCAAGTCTAGGACCTTAATGGCAGCCAATTTATTTTTTGTCCCCACTTCCCTGCATAGCGGGGCCATATACTAGGGTGGTTTTTTTCTTGGTTACCCACAAAACCCAGTTTTTTTTCACTGAAAGCACCCAGTTTTTGTATGACCCCTCTCCCTTTGCACCCGGCTTTGGGCGGCTGGATCCGAACTTGCTCCAGGGCCGCACGCTGCTCCATGAATCAGCCGCCGCGCTGCTGATGCCGGTGCTCCAAAGTCTGCCGCCGGAGATGGCGGGGGCCTCACGGGGGGAAAAAAAAGAAAACGGGGCGACGGGAAGCCGTGGGATTAAACTCGACTGCTATTGGGTCGGATCTTTAGACTTTAACTTTTTGGGAAATCGAGGGGTGTTCCACTAAACCCACAGCAAGTTAAACTTTTGCAGAGGGGTCAACAGCAACCAAGTAAAGACCTCTTTCGTTTGCCGCAACCCGGAGAGGGAGAACCTCCGTAAACTGGTTCTATTGAACGGGTGCAAGTTTCTTGTGTGTGGCCTCCGGAAGGAACCCATTTGTTGCAATTAAATATTCAAAGTGTTTTTTTGTTTTCCCCCCCCCCCTTTTTCGCGTTGAAGTTCATGTTGGTTCCTTACGCTTGCCCTTCGCCCAGGAGGTTGGCAACTGGTGGTTTCCCAGTTTCTTCCCTGCAGTTTTCACATGGAATCCCGGGAGCTTTCAGTTTCCCAGGATTCTTCTTTGGTTGTTTTTGGGCAGAATTCCACCCCCCCCCCTTTTACGCCCAGATTTTTCAGCTCTGATTTCGCTTGACATGGGCCACCAACCCAACCAACCCAACCAATCCAACCAACCCAACCAACCCAACCCCAACCCACCCCCAACCCACCCCCAACCCCTCGCCGCTTCGCAGGTGTCGCAGCAGCTGGCGTCTCAAGACGCCAGCGGCAACACGCCTTTGCACCTGGCCCTCAAGGCCCAGAAAGTGGACGAGGCCACTCCACCCAGCGAGGGATGGGCGGGAGCCTAGACGCGAGAAGTTTTTTTTGGGGGAACGGTTCACAAACCTGGAGGCTTGCCGTAAGCCGCTTGGGTGTTGTTGGCGGCCGTTAACTTTTTTTGGAGGGGGCAGCCCTTTAAAACGGAGTGCCTAAAACGGGTGTGCCTTATTGCCACGGCCAACGGGGTTCTGGGGGTGGCGTGTCTGGCAGTACTAAGTAATGTATACACGCGGGGCAGATATCGAATCTGGGTGCAACGCTGCGGGTGGATTTATGGAAAAATTATATCGGGTCCAAGGCAGGGCGATAATTCCCCAGAAGTGAAGCTGTCCCTTGTTAACCCGAGATGAGCTGCATTGGGTGGTTAAAACATCAAACGGACCAATCTTGGTTGAGTTGTCCTTTCGGGCTGGGTCAATTTGAGCGCCTATTTGCCTATCTGCTGCGTTTCAAGCGGCTCCAGGGGCACATCGTGGTTTCCTAATCTTAGCATTGGATGAATCAAGCGGAGGAGGCTACTAGTCAGAGGAACGCCTAATCTTACAAAAAGGGGAACCACCTTTGGTTAGCCGGGTTTGATTGGGATCCCTAGATTCGTTCCCAAATCTGAGAACCGGCAAGGTTAGAGTCCGTCCGCAAGCGCTAGCGCTTAGCCTGGCTGAAGTGTTGGAAACACCCAGCAGCTGCCCTCTTCCCCGTAGCGTAATTCAACCAGGTTGCAGCCCTGAGTCACTATAGGCCTGTAACTCCGTCCCTTTGCGAACCTGACGCGTGTTATGATCCTACCCCTTTCAGATTATCACCCAATCTAAATGAATGTGTGCACTTGACATGTTCCATCTTGTATGTACTTCAACACGCGAATGTTGCAAGCTTTAGATCCAACGCACCGCACTTTTCGGACATGGTGAACAATGTGTTCAATACGGATGATGACTTGAGCCACAATCAAAATCTGAGATGAAGGTTTGCAACAACCAATGCCGTTTTTTGGTGCGATTGGAGCGGGAAATGGCCGAACATATGTATATTTGTATAAATATCCGATCCATCAACTCAGCTCACTTCCCGAGTTTGTACTTTTTGGGAAGACCAGCAACATGTTTGTTGTTTTTTTTCTGGCCAATCCCCTCGTTCGGGAGTGACGGGAGTTGATATTATCCTAATGGTCCTTTGCGATTGGATTGAGACAGGCATGTCTGCAGCCTACTGCATGGCGATCTCACTGATTCAGGGGTATAACGAGCTCACCATGACAGGTTTTTCTTGGGGATGCAGTTCTTAATTCAGCCTTTGGAATCAGAGTAACATTTGCAGATATAGTAGGCCACCAGGAGTTGACAGGGTGGCACCCAGGTTGACCCGGATTAACAAACCCCTCATTGTTAATATGGCGGTGCTCCACTCCACAAGTGATGAATTCCCACTAAAACCAGAGACACCCCCAATATGAATAAACAGTGATTTATTCATCCGGGGTCAACCTATTACAGGTAAACGGATCAGATGGAACGCTTCGCGCCAGGTTCAGCAAGCACTCGCTTTCGCCGAGCAAGCTTCAGGCGAGAGCCTGGCAAGGGGCCCTCTGAGTCTCCAGCTGTTTTTTTTTGGCACCCAAATTGGCGGCGGTTCTTTTGGTGCGCGTTGGCAGCCAACCTAAAACGGGTGCCTGCAAAGAACATATGTATACATATATATATGTATACGTATTTATTTACACATATGTTTATACTGCTTGTACAGTTGTACATATATATATATACTTGAACAGACACCTATGTGATTAGCCATGGTTAATATCATCATCAGGGACGTCGCGTTAGTGACCGACCTGTGGTGTTTTGGCTCAAGTTTTGGGTTCCGTCGCGCCTCGAATGGGCGTCGCCGAACCCCTGCGTCGATCGACGGCATCTCGGGGGAGAAAGAGACCTCGGGCCGCCGCCAGGTTGGTAGGGACCAGTCGTGCGGCCTGTTGTCGACCAAGGTTGCGGGTTAACCCTTTTCTTGTTTGGTTTGATTTCCTTTGGTTGTTGTTCTCTGGTGTGTGGGAAACCCTGATCTTTGGGACCGGGGATTGGTTTGCTTTTGGGGAACCTTTCTTTTGTGGCTTGTTTACCCCAACTTACCCATTGCCTGGGCACAGGCTCGTGCCCGAATCACAGGTTATCAGCCGTAGGACTTTCCTACGCGCTTGAGACCATCAACTACAAGCTCTATGTCGACCCCACGATCTCGAAGGAGCGTCGTGGATGAGGAGGCCATCCTAGGTGGCCTCCGCTCAGGTGAGGACCTACCGGACTATGACTACGAGGATTTCGAAGCAGGTTCGACAGGTCAGGACCGCAGGGGTGAAGATCCCGGTAGGGATACACCCAGGAGCCGTGGCAGGTACGCCGACGATGGAGACGATCGTATTTTCCGCCAGGCCACTGATGACGAGCAGACACGAAGGGTTTACTCCGATAGGAGTGGCTCTGAATCAGGTCACAGGCGTGGACGTTTTGACTTCATCAGCATGGCGATGGACATGGCCCGCCCTCATTCGGATGACCCGGAGGCCATGCCGATTCGACCTCCGAGATCTCTTGTTCCAGGTGAGTCGCAGGTCTCGGATGAGTTTGAGAATAGGCCGCAGGGACCAGGGACTATGGTTCTGGCTCCGGGAGGTATCCCGGGCCGATCCACTGGTTCTCAGAATCCAGGTCAGTTTGATGAGCACGAGGAGCGGAAGTTCTCAGACTTCGGATACGATGATCTGTTGAAATCGACCGCAGGATGGGGCAGTAGCTCAAAGCAGGGATCTGATGCCGGTAGGCCCAACCCTATTACTGCCAAATCTGAGTCTTATGATGACGGAGATTACAATTTTGCGGATGAGGAGGAGAGCCATTCGCGCCGAAGTGCAGGCAACCGTGCGGCTGCAAGGACTAGTCCTGCCGCCGCCAAGTTTGAGGTAAATGATGATGACGAGTATGCCGCATTTGCGGATCGCCGTGATGAGGAGGAGCACCAATCACGACGAAGTGCTAGGATCCGTGATGCTGCGAGGCCCAGGAGCCTCTCTCGTGGAGCCGCCAGGGACCTTCGTGTTGACAGGGACGGCCGAAGCGAGAGAGAGAGAGCCAGGGACAGTCGGGAAGTTCTTCGAGGATTGGAGGCTATCCATGACCGTGAGGGACCGGTAGGTCCCCCGGCGATTGGTGATACCCCGAATGTTCCCCCTTTTCCTAACATTACTTTTGGAGGTCCGTTGGATCAGAGAGACGTGAACTCGAACCGGGTTACTGGTTCGTCGAGGATCACCGAGCGGGTTGCCGATGTCGTTGGGAGGGGTGCAAGAGATGGCCGGCTTGCCGATGCACTCGGAATCGAGGATCATCCGTCGATCGCTAGCCCGTTAGGGCGAGATACTAGTGACCTTGAAACACTTAGGTCTAGCAACGAGTTCACACCTCAGTGGGGCTCGACCGCCAGGGAACGTAGTGCTTCTGCGAAGAGACCGTCACCCCTGGCCATTGAGACCGATAGGTCAAAGGCGAGGAGGGCTAGCCCCTCACCAATGGATTCAACTCCGCAGGATGAGGAGATGCCTGATCCTGCTGATGTTCACATTCACTCCACCCCCGAGTCACGTGCATCCAACATTGATCCCCGATCTGGCGATAGCCGGAGAAGGGGATCCACCCCGAGTAGGCCATCCAGGATTGATGATTGTCCCGTAGATGACCCAAGAAGGCATGCCGGGGCTAGTAGGGCTCCTGAGAGGATCGAGATATCGACTCCTCCCGCCCTCAGATCTCAGTCTTCTGGCGAATCAGGTGACGTCAGGGCAAAGGAGATGTTCGAGTTGCACATCCAGGAGATGCTCGAAAGGGGTGAGGTTTCTGGCTCAGTCGCGAAGGCGTTCCATATCTTTGCTGACCAAATCAGGGTACTGAACGGTCAGGTGAGTTCCATGCGAAGGGAATGGAGTGACGAGAGCCGACAGACGAAAGACAAGGTCGATCGCCTGGCAGCTGAGGTTGCGACTCAATCTGATGCCGGGAGGATGCGTATGATAGTTCAACGGTTTGCAAGGGAAGTTATTCCTGACAGCAATACCATTGTGAGGCAAGCCATCGATGAACAGGCTGAAGTCGTCGAGCAGAGGATCAATCTGCTTTCCCACGAGATTCACGAATCTGTTAAGGACAGTGAACTCGCAACAGATCAGCTTCGCCAGAAGATTCACGAAAATAGTGAGGCTACCCGCAGGAGCCATGCTGCTTCCGAGGACGAGATCCTCAAGGACTTGGATAAGCTTGAGAAACGGATGTTCTCGGTAGAGAAAACCGTCGGGATGCGGACGCCAGCAGGTATATGGAACCCGAATCCTGTCGCGCAACCGTCCGATAGGGCCAGCAGCAGTGTGGTTGACGCGAATTTCAGGGAGTTAAACCTGAAGATTGAGAAAGCTCTCCTTGAACACGAGAAGTTTGCTAAGTGGGCCTCCGAATCTATTGAAGGCATAAATAAAGAGCATACCCTTCTTTCAAATCGGATGTCGAGGCTGCAACACGGAAGGGGATCCCAGGAGGTCGATAGACCATCAGGGCATGATTCCCCGCAGGATTGGCATGAGGCGATTGGCGAGGTCAATCGGAAGATTCAGGACCTAGCGCGCGGAGTTCAACGTCAACGTCGGGATCATGACGATATCATTTCAAGGTTTGAGACCTTGAAGTCCCGTGTCGAGCGGTCTGAGTTCTGAATCAAGTTCTTGATGATATCAGGGGGCAGATTCGTAGCCTTCCGGTAAGTACTGAGCAGGCACGGTCTGTCGTTAGGCGCGAGTTGGAATCATTCCGCAACACACTTGAGGCCTCGGTGAGGAGGATCAACAATGTTGAGAGCAACATTCGTACTCTTAACGGAATGAACAACAGGATCATGGCTCAGCTCTTTGAAATCGAAGGTCATGTTGATGAGGCTGCTGTCATTATTCAGGGTGCCCGAGACGATCAGGCAAATCCTCCGCAGCATAGAGAGA